AAATTTTACTGTAGCTTGCATGTTCTTGTCTTTATATCCCTGTATACTCCCCTAAAGAACCCCCTACGGAATTATATACTTCCCCTTACATAAGCACCAGTAGGGCAAGGGCCTGGAGGTCTGCCGGTAGTGCTGCCTGCGCGACGTGAGCTTGACCGGTGGAGTCCTGCAAGTCTGTTACTAGACACGGCTTAGGATTTGGGAGTTTAGGCTGGGGTTTACGGGCTTCAGGGTTTAGGGGTTTTGTGCTTTGGATGTAAGAGTTAGGGAGGCTCTGAACATGCATTCCTCTTTTGGAGGCTTTGTAGGATCCGGAAGGTTTGGAGTCTGAGAGTCCCTTTTTGAGAACAATTGAAAGCGGATGCCGCAGTTCTGATACATCTCCCTTGTTGGACAAGCAAGCACAAGCAACACCGGCTATCAACGTGACAGGAACGTCCAGATTTTCAGCATATTCCAGGCTGTGTAGTGCAGAATCCCTACAGAAACGCCTAGACAATGAGCCCTTGAAGAGCTCAAGAATCCTGTGCTACTGTCCTGGAAGGTCAGCTCAAAACGATGAAGGAAATTGCGCGGGCACCTTGTTGCAGGCTATGTGGACGCCTTTCTACCGGTCAACTTCTTACCGGTCAACTTCCTTGGGGCGCTTGGCCAAAGAAAGGAAAGGAGCAAACACTGATGAGAAGATGCGATCGCTGATGGCCAAAATCGGGGCGACGATGATTATCGTGATGATGATGATGATGATGATGATGGTGACGGAGATGCTAACTCGATGCTAAAGATCTAAAAAAAGCTAACAGTCTCAGCAGGACATCCCTTCTCAGGCAGAACAGCCTTATGACCCCCTTCTAGGCTCTACTGCCAAGGTGTCTTGTGCTTGAGGCTGCGGGCAATAAGCTCATGCTCATGCCGCTTTTCGGCATAGAGCGGACATGATTTAGGGCTTGAGGCGAGCGACCCTACTTTTGGCATATAACCATTTGCTCGTCCTAGCTGTTCAAAGGGTTTAGTCTGCAGGCGTGCGAGATCTTCAAAGGCACAGCACAAGCGCAAGACAGGTTCATATCAGTGCAAAGCATCCTCTACTTAGTTCCTATGTAAAGGACCTCATGAAAGGAGCGGCAACGTTCCGCTTTGGATGGTGCTACTAAGGTGAAGTGGCGGAGTGAACATAAGTACTGTTTGTCTGAACATGTATGGGAGCTGTATAACTTTCTACTTCCCTGCTATTGCTCTACCCGGATGCTTTGTTGCCTCCCTTCTCCTGGGACAAATCACTTTCCATTGAGATCTGGCAGGTAGGGTATCAACCTCTTGGTAGGATGAACTTACTGGTGCTTAGTAGGGAAGAAGGGACTATCGAGGGGTGTCTCTCACAATGCAAATGAGGATCCCAATATTATGTATAATCCCCTGTAAGCTAAGTAGATAGAATGCGGGGTATATGGAGATCTTATTCTAATATACCCAAAGCCATGTTCTATCCACTTAAGAGGGACTATAGCCCCAGACAACGCGAAGTAGTACAGTGGACCATAAACTGGCGCAACTCCTGATCTAGGGCCTGTTTAGGGCTTAGGGGCTGTAGGATTTCTATTGGAGGAGCATTGATGATGGTTGCGAGGATGCAAAGCATGTACTAAGGATGCGAAGTCTACTGTAACTCCTGAGTTATGCACCGGGATTACTTGGGAATAAGGGAATTCTATCTAAGTATGTGCGAGGCACCAGACAGCATCAGCAGCAAAGATTGCCGGGTCTGTGTACTTCTCGTCAGTGACGCTGGGGTGGCCTGCCCAAGCTGGAACAACAAGATCTTTAGAAGTTAGGGTCTTGGTCTGAATCGGTGGGGCCCTGGAGTTTTTACCGGGCCGTAAGAGATACTCATCGCCATGACACTTCAGCAACGACTAGCGTGCCAACATTATAGGGATGAAATTTTTGCTACATAATCTGCAAGTTGCATGTTTGCTGGGTGGCGGTTCAGCTCAGCAGCCACTCTTCTAGTTCATCCTCAGTACTTTCCAGTCGTTAAGCTGACTTCTGTAACTACGCCTGGGAATATTGCGACCATCATTGCCGATTCAGGCTTGGGTCTGGGAGCTTCGTCTGAGCAGACAGCTTTGAGTTTTCTGCCTGACTTGCAGACCATCATGACCCTGCAGACTTGCTAACACCCTGCAAACCTCACCAGATGACTTGGGGGACATAAAGCTCCAAAGAATGGCATTTGCACTAGGGACCCTTCACTTCACCTACCGTTGTGCCACCATGCGAGCCCAAGCAGTCACCACCCTTCTAGTCTTCAGCTCTTTGTCTCGCCCAGGCAACATGGGAACTCAAATAAATAACTCAAAGTTTGACCCACTGAAAGCCTCGAATCGGGGGACTGCCCGGGGAAGCTAGGCAATAGATCCGGAGTGCTGAAATGTGCTTTAAAGGCTAAACCATTGCGGATTCTGTGCAGCAGAGAGGCCATCAGCGCAAACAAATCCATTGTAACCACAACATCGAACTTAACAGTTTCTCCAATTCAGGGTTCGGGAAGAGACTGCCAAGACATGCTTCCAAGAGCAAGGCCACGTCTGCCAGTCTGAGGTGCTCTTAATTGGTGGGCTACATCTGCATGACCCGAGGTACCCCGAATAAACCCTGGCAACTAGCTATAACGAGCTTTTCAGTGTCAACAATATCACTGCCTCAACGCTTGAACTAGGCCAGCCTTGCTCACCTTGAAGCCTGATCTACAATGATCGGAATCAAAGTACGGGCATGGAGCATGTCCGGAGCCTACGTGCTGTAGATGCACTCGGATTTGGTGGGTACGCCCAGTCCGGATCCTGGATTTTGTGACAGATTTATTCTTTTTCCTCGCCTTTCTAAGCTTGTGAAGCTTCAGGATGCGTGCGGACGTTTGACAACTCCGTTGTGGCAACGGCTGTAGGCCCAGCAATATCCAACTTGCATGTGGCGAAGAGCTTGGAGTAGAAACTGGCAGAAATCATGTTCCAAGACCCTCCTATTACCCTTAACTATGGACATATGATCCCTAATAGCGGGTATTTAGGCCCGAATCAATACAGGGTGGTAGATGGAGGGTCTGGGTTGAAACAATTTAGGTTCACCCCTCGGGACCAAAGCCTCAAAATCTGCTCAGTCTGAGTAGGGGTTCCCCCCCTTAAGCGGTACCTTTTTCGAGTCCCCAATAATAAGGACTGTAGCATTTTGGGGTCCATCTTGGGGTCCACCTAGTTAGGGGAACTACTAGGTCTGAACTTCTAAGAGGAAGTTGGGGCTTGACAAGAAGGCTGGACTCTCATCTCTCGCCGTATTGGCCGGACGATCCCTTGATTGGCTTACCAAACTGAGCCTCGATTATAAGATGCCATGGCAAAAAAAAATCGTCTCAACCAACAATCTGAACTCTCCAGGCCCTCTACATCCCCACAAATCCCTTATATCCCCTTTAAAGCAAATCCTAATTGTAGCCCCCTGGTTCCGCATAATCCGCGTAGCTTCCACCTGCATGACAGCTAAGGCACATCACCTGCAGCAGAGAGAAGGGCTCTGGACCCCGAGCAAGTAGGCACAGCCCCTCTACCTGCATGGGATGCAAATTGGTGGAGGAGTTTTGTGAACCCGGTGTCCTGTGAAGACTTGACAGAACACAGGGTTCCCTGAAGTCACGATCATGATATGTGTCTGCAGCAGCGTCTGCGCTGTCCTGAGGTCCAAGTCCCCCATAATCATTTTACCTCCCAAAGATCCGCTTGCAATGGCTACATCGAAATGTATACAATCATGGCGTGAATATGACCCACACGAACTCCTAAAACCTGTCCAACCGCCTGGAAAACTAGTGTTAAATTACTCCTGGGCACCTGCGTCCAAGCAGGCTTTCCGGCAGCGCTTATGCGGCTGGTAGCAGGGAAGGTCTTGCTCGTCTTGATCCTGCGCTTAAAGTTGGAGTGCCAGGGGCAGCTGGCTGCTAGCTTGGTAGCACAATGCTGGCAGCAAGTGGGCTGGAGTTCGAGGCTTGCATTCGTTATGCGTACTCACTGCCCAAGTCCCCAACCCTCCAAATAGGGCTTATGTGCGCCATCTGGGTTGATTTAGAGTGAGCTTGCAATAGGGTCCTGAGTCTTGACTTCATGCAGCTGTTGCGGCCAAAGCCAGCTTATAGCGCTGCTGTTGTGACCCTGAGGGTTTTGACGCCAGATACCCATCCAAGCTCAGAAGCAGCGAATCTCCTGGCATTGATGATGTGCTTGCCCGGAGGCAGGTGGCCGTGGCAAAGAACCTAAGCATGCATGGGATTTTGGGGCTCGACCTTTGAGGTGGCAGTTATTGACCTCGTTTTTGACACCATAGCTTGGTTGTATCCTGAGGTTTGCGTTAGGACATGCTAGGGCGTCAGAAGCTCGAGCCCAGGGTTCAGTGGGTTGTAGAAGGGCTGCAGATGGATGATGCTTCAAACTTGAACATATGTTACCGAGGGTCGGGTCAGGGTTTCTCATTTCTTGCCATTGGCATAGCGCTCAACTCCGGGGATATGCAGCCGGTTCGCATGTTGGATATGTTTAGGTGGCTGATGACCAAGGCCGGTTTCCAAGCTTGTAATAGTTAGGTGCGAAGCTCCAGTCGAGGGCTCGCACTTGATGCTTCCTGCTCCCAACCCGATACAGTTTACATCATGTTCCACGGCACAATCTCTGCTGGCTGGCAAAAACCAGCGAAGACGCATTATGCCGCAACAGTTCCAAGCTGAGAATGCCAAACAGGAGCAAAATACATACCTTTCGCAAAACATTGCTGCTTCAGTCTTGTCTGCATGGTTTCGCATCATGATCTCCTCAGCTGGTATTGACGAAGAAATGCTTGGACTGCTGCCAGTAAGATCCGAGTCTTGGCCCATGGGGTCGCCCCGCATATACGCAAACCAAACGAAAAGTGAAAACAACAAAACGAGAGAACTTTCCCTGCATGATCCAGGTTGCCAGGTAGTGCCGACCGAGGTCGTAGGTGTCCTGCTGCCAACGCAGGGTGAAGTAGCCACCGAAGGTCTTACCTTTGGCTTTGGGAGTTGGATTTTAAGGGAGCTTTTGCAATCTGAACACGGATTCTGGTGTTTAGGGGCACGATGTGTAAGGGGGCGTGACCTTGGAGAAAAGTTCTAACCGAAAACGGCCCCTGAAATGCCCACCCCTTCCTCTCAGCTACAACAAAAAACTTGACAAACTTTGTCCGCAGCACTAACCTCTACGGTATCAAATCCCTCCTGCGCGCTGATCTTATGCCTGAATCCTGACTCCACCCATATCTCATGACGCTTGTTCTGCTTGTTCTTATTGGGATAATTGCAAAAACTGCTCATTACATATTCCTCTTTGGGCGTTTGCATAGAATAGACTCAATCATGTTTCACGATGACCCAGTGAACCCAAAACCCTATTAGGATCTAAGCCTCCAAGGCGCCAACCAAGATCAAGCCGCTGCTAGGAACGTCCAGGCGGTGTATGATGCCGTACTGGTGGACCTGGTACTGTAGAGGCCTAGATAATCACCAATGTCAAGTTGAGGTCCGTATGAGGTACCATATACTGTAATTCTACAAGGAATCTAGGACCACGATATTGGCAGTTCCTCAGGTCTTTACCTTAAACGAGTTGTTTGTCTTTCTTTTGGGGACCTTCTCCCTTGCCTGTAACAAATGAGCATTGGTCAAGACTCCTTTCATCCGGTAATGGACGC